ACTTATGACAATTTCGAAAAATAGTTGAGTGTTTGGATTATACTAGAATTTTGTGTTGTAAGATGATAAAAGAAGAAAAGGTACTAGCCTGGCGGTCATTTCATTTAAACAAGATGGTCTTCATTACCAAGAGTTTGTTTCCTCCCGTTAGCTATGCCTGTCTTAGTAAAGGATATAAAAATTGTTATTCCGTTTGAAGTTCCCCAAACCAAAGTGGTTTGTGCTCTTTTGATTGAGGCACTGTTAAAGGAAAAGCTTCTTGAACCTTTGCCATGCTACTGGAAAACAGCTAATGTTCTGTGAAGCCTATGCCAGAATACATGTTGATTTTAAATTTTAAAAATATGTGGTGTAGGGATAAACAGTAAAGACATGAATAATGTCGAGTGAGGAAGGAGAACAGATGTAGTCCTGTTTTGTACCTGTTATACCTGTTCCCTTTTATAGCTGTGTATGTAAAGGTGTTTTAATTTAACATTTTAGTAATTCTTATTTTTGAGAGAGTCTAAGGTATGTATGGAATAGTGTAGTGTTTGGATAGTCCAGACCACTAGAGACATACAATTGCAAACCTAAGGTAGTCCAGGAAAGTATACTTGTATTTCTTAATTACAGTCTTGTTAAAAAAATAGAATCATGTGTGATCAGATTTTCCCCAAAACATATTTAGCATTGGAAACTATTACAAGCAACTTAAATTGTCTATTTTGTTTATTTTCCACATACACCTACTTTGAGAAAAATAGTTGGTTATGTGGAGGAACACATAAGCCCTTTTGTCTTTGTCTGTTCAATTGCTCTTTCCTAATATCTCTCCTTACTCTTAGAGAGATAATTAATTAAAAAAGAACGCATGGCAAATAGGAATCTTGGTCAATGAGTAGCTGCTTAATTTTAAGTGAAGTGAATTGCCTAAGTACTGTGCTAAATTTGAGCCCTTGGAGCACCACTATTGCTGGTTTAACTGGAAACATTCATTGTTCTTAATGTAAATCAGACTTCATTGAAATGTGTAGATGAGATTTGTGGCTGTTTTTTCTTAGTGAGATTGCTTGACTGCTTGCTGTTATATAAGCTGTTAGGTAAGCTATACATATATACATACATGTACACATATGTATGTACTTATATACATATATAGACATACACTCTTGGGCAGAGCTCTTTTTCTCCCCTGTTAGAAGGGAAAATATATGAATAGTTGGCTTCCTTTTTCGTTAGCTTTACCACTGACCTTTATTGCAGTCTGCAGGCGAGACTGAAAAATTGGCACAGACAGGTTGGATATCGCCTTTTCTTTTGTGGTCTGGCAGAACTCTTAAATTGTTAGGAAATGAGACTTGACAGTTTGTGTTATTAATTGGAGAACAATCTAACCATATTATGACAGACTTCGATGTAATGCCCCACATCAATTGACTCTTGTCGTCCTCCCAGGAGGCATCACTTTTTCTTCTTTCAGTGTTTTTTGTTTTTTTTTTTTAATGCTATCACTCAAGACTTCAGGAAATGTCATTATTTGAGGAATATAGAAAGTAGAGCCAACAAGGCTTTAAAACAATTCTGTTCTCATATGGAACATAATTTATATAATGAAGTAATACCAAAGACTGTGATAAATGAAAAGAAGTTTGTTGGCCGACCTGACTTGGCTGTGCTGAGTCTGAAATAACCTGCTGTGTAACTGTTTTATTCAGTTCAGCCTATGGGTTTCCTGGCTGTGATGAGTACCACTCTGGTTGTTGAAAGTACAAAAAGACAAGTATCGTCTTGCATATTCATGCATCAGACTTCTAGTTGAAGACATTGATCACATTTAATTTTCTGAACTGAATTATTTCCTAAATGCTGCATTTATTTTGTTAGTGAAGTACAAGTATTTTTTACTACAGTAGTTTTGAAAATCATTTGGTAGAAGTATTGTCTCCCAAGTAGTGCTTATTATCATGCCAAATAAATGGCTAATTCTTATTACAACTTTAGTAAGCAACAGCTGCATAGCTAGATTTGAGCTTAAAACAGAAATTTGTCTTTTTTGATCATACATAAACAGAATTTTCCAGTACTACAACAAAATGTTATTTCGTTTGACTGAAAATGTATTGCGACAGCTCCTTTGTGAAAATAGCCTCCTGACAGCTTTTGTAAAAATTTAGATTAATGGAGGAATGAAAGTGAGACCTGAGAATTTTAATTAAATGTAATTTAATTATTTTATTTAATTATTTCATATTTGGCAATTTTTGTTTTCTAGTTCTCAAGAGTGGCGATTTGCTGTTAGATTTTAGACTGTCTTGAAAGAAAACCAGTAATGAAGGGTGATACTTTACTTTGTAGAATTCTGTCAAGAGCAACTCTCTTTAAATTGTTGGGTTTTAATTTTTTCTTAGAAAGGGAACTAAGGGTCTGTTCCTCACTAAAAGTTTCTTTTATAGTGTTGTAACTTTGGTATTGGTGGCATTAAGGCCTGAGACATCTCTTAGCAGGGGAGCTAGTGGTGCATCAGGGCTGCTCATCTTTACCTTTTGACAGTGAAAACACAGATTTAGTAACTACTCGGTAGAAGAGTGGGAACAAGTGAAGGGACAGCAAGTCAGAAGAGCAGTATGTGTGTGTTCTTCTCTGAACCCTCTGCTGTGGGTTTTTTATGTGTACGAGTGGGACTGTCATGGCACTCCTAGTTTCCCATTTTTCTTCTATTTGTGTGAGAATTGAGACAAGAGGACAATAAATGAAGGGAGAAGATGCTTTCCAGGGATGGTAATTGTTAGCCCATTTCCAGCTGTCTGTTCCCACTCATCACTCCAGCTGCCTTAGTGGTGTAGTGGACTGTAAATATTTACATTATCTCAGTTTGCTTTCCTGTTCCACCCTCAACTGGCACTGTGTGTTTCACCACACACTCCTTGGGTGCCCCCTGTAGAATGGCCTCTGTGGCATAGGATCACTTGGCAGTCCATTTGGCTTGCTCTTTTGGACTTGATTTGGCTTGTAGATTGCTAGGTGAGAGTCCTGGCACTGGAGGATGCTGCCTTCAGGAGATCTTAACTTTATTGTTCTCACCAGGTGAGATATCTTAGCTATTTATACTTCTTGGTGATGCTGTAAGATTATCTTCAGCTTATCTGTTCCTTCAGCAAAGTATTTGCCCTTTTCTTTGTCACTTTTGGAAGGTCAAACTCAGACCCATCTGAACTGTAGTCTTACATTAGTATGAAATTTCCAGTCTTTACTATTTTCTTAAGAATTCATAAGATCAATTGGAAGATAATTACAAAAAAGTAAGTTATGTTTTGAGCAAAAGTAGAATTACAGCTACTTCTGTAATCTTACTGATTCCTCTTTATTTTCAGAAGAAAAGTGTTTCAAAAAGAGTAAACAACAATGTAAGCAGCGATGGAGACGTATTAGCTTAGTTCTTGCCTTTCTAAGATGGTGTGCTTAAGCTGTGGTGCAGTTTAGGATTGCCATCTTGCCATTCTTAGTGCATGTATCTAGCACAAAACCAGTGACATCTTCTACATTCCACCATAACTGAGACTCAAAACACTTGCTGTATTGGTGAAGGCTACCAGGACAAATGAAAGAGAATTAGAACTTAGTAAATGGATTATGGATAAAAATAATAATATGAGTTGAAAACCTCTTTAGTTACACTGTCCTTTGCTTCAGATTTGATAGAAAAAATGGTGTTGGACATATGTCAGAAAATACTTCCTTTGGGGAATCGTTCGTTTTTTTTTTTCTTCCCTTTGAGAAATCTGTTAGCTTCTTTCCTACAAACAGAATTTAAGGCATTTGGGTAAACACAGACCATTTTTTTACTATCCCAGTAATGCTGAGAGAAAATGTTTAGTGTAAGGGTTTCCAAAGGCAAATAATGTGCTTGATTAAAATAAAATTAATTTTCAGTTTAAAAGCTGTTTTCAATTAAATTCATGTTCAAGTTGTGTATGCCATCATATAAAACTACTAAATTCATTAGATCTTCACTAGCCGTAGTTAACATGATGTACTGATTTTCTCTGTACGTTTGGGAATGTTGTACTAGAGACTACTCTACAACCATTTAGTCACTGGAATCTGATGACCAGGCAATAAGTTTTCAGTCCAGAAAGATGCACAGGTTGGCTTGTCATACCTCTCGTGGTATGGACTGCTGGCCACTGTACACAGGGATCAAATCTAAGATTTGATAATAAAAATGCTAAGGCCATAGAGAGGCAGAATACTGAGGTGCAGTAACCGTATTCTTCTTCATTTCTCAGGTTTATATGTATTCACAGTATATACAATATACTAAATCTGCATTTCTCTACTTTGTATTAGTGAAAGAGAATATTTAACATGAAGCAAAAGTCTTCTAGAAAGCTTGGTGTGTTACTTTGGGGTTTTGTTTTTTCGTTTTTAATACTGGCACCAGTTACTCGTGAAGCTGCTGAGAGGGAAGTGTATCACAATTAGTCAATCATGTTACTCTTAAAAGGGAAGGATAAGGATACTTCTGATCTCTGTGAGATGAATGAAGTGTTAAAAAAGCATGGTAGTGTGTCTATGTAAAAATTTTTTTTTTCCATGTGTAATTTTTTTTTCATGTGTAATTGTGGATGAATCTGTCGTTGCAGAAGGCTCTTTAAAATTACACCTGAAGCTAAAGAATCTATGGACAAATTCTAGAAAGTGCATTACTTCACTGTTGCCACATTTTAGTGAAGCTAGATCTGTATGTCAGTAGAGTATGTTGTTTTTTCCTCCTATTAAGCAATTGTATGATTTTCTTATGTACCAATACCACAAACAGTTATTGGCACATTTCCCTGGAGCTTTGGCAGTTTGTCTGCACCGTAACATTTAATTTCTGTTTTACTTGCTTTGTTGTTGAGTCTGTTATCTAAGCACTAGTAAAATGGATTGTGATAAGTTTGTTAATCTGTCATGAGTTTTTGAGTGACTCCTGCTTGTTTCTGCAGCTAGCCTCTCATTTTTCTTTGGTTTTGCAGGCTGCCTTGTATCGTCTGAGTGGGGACTGGAATCCTTTACATGTAGATCCAAGTTTTGCTGCTCTTGGAGGTGAGCTGAGCGATACCATTGTATTAGTATTTGGACAAAGGATGGTGTAAATGCATTTTTAATCTTTTTTTTTTTTTTTCACTTGGTCTGTATGTCTTTAACAAGCTGGAAAAAACAGTAGGTTTTTTTATCGGTGTTCTTGGAGTCACCATTAGATGTCTTCAAAGTTCTCTGACACATTCCCTTAAAGCATTGCTTCTTGTAGCTAGGAATGCAGAATGATGCTTGGAGTCTACCTACAATGGAAACCGGCCTCCTACCCTATTTTCCTTTAGCGCTTATTTCTTGCCACTGTCCCATCTTTACAGTCTCTGTTTCATAAGCAGGAATAATTGACTATCAAAAGCTTCAGAAGGAATTCCATAGATTCTTTGACAGATAATTCTTTCCATCTAAATAATGTTGAGATTACGTTGGCCTCAGTGGAATTTTTTGTGCTTTTGTGTATTCCTTGCAATCCCAATAAATCTTAGGAGATCAGGAGTTTCTTAGCACTCCTTTCCTATAAAATTGCTTAACTGTGCCACTTGCTAGCGCAGTAGCTTGTTCAGTTACGTAATGCTACATGTCAAAGCAACAGACCATAGGCTACATTAACAGAGATGTAATTACTAAAGAAGGGTCTGATTTCTTAAACTGCTGTTGTAAAGGTGTTTCTCCGGGTTCTCTTCAGGCCTTGCTAGTAATATAGTGTGGTTACTCCAGGCAGACGGCAATTTGATTAACTTAACAAATTTTCCTGAATATGTATGCTATCATCGTAAACTTTACATGAAAATAATTGGTCTGCATTTTTCCGATGACTTCTTTTTAATACAGAAGTATCATTTTATGGTGTTCTTACCAAGATAAATAGAGCAGAGCTATGCTTCCTTGTTCAGGTCACGCAACATACTTCCACAAATTGTCTCCTTTCATAAATACATACTAATTCTTCGGTCTTTTGCATAGTATGTCTAATATGTCTTTTGGATAATTCTTTGTAAATTTGTGTTAATAAATAATGATAATCAAATGCCAGAGTCCATGAAGAGATTTCCCTGGTGTATTAAATCATTCTATTTGTTTGTTCAGCTGATGATTTTGTATAAATATTTAGATGGAATCACCCAATTACTCTTGAAGATGCTGGAGGAGAAAAATACAAGTTTATAATTGAAACTGCAGTGCTTAAAATAATGATTATAATCTTATAAAAACCTTACAAAAGAAGAGGAGTAGAAGTCTTCTACCTGCTCACACAAAGAGCTCTGGCACTTAGACACAGTGAGAAATGAAATTAACTCTGTAGATGAGGTGGTCTCTGAACAGAAAACTGCCGCACTGGATTTTGGGACTGTGGCAGTCTCCAGCTGAAATACATGCACTAAATGCAGGTTCAGACAAAGAAGAAAATTACTGTAGAGATATTCCACAAGTATCTTTTCCAGTTATACAAAAACTTTTTTCACACACCTTCTTGTCTTTAATCTCTGTAAATGTTCCTTTGACTGTGTCTTACTACCGTGCACTGGAAGCAAGCATTCAGTGTAGTGCACTCAGGTCATTCCAGGATTATTGTTAATCCTTCCTGTGGGTAATGTTTCAGAGGAGATATACTACATGAAAATACCTGTTCATATTCTTGTGCCTTTATTCCTGTAGCTCGAGTATTTCCAAGATATTAGAAAGTGGAGGCAACATTTACTTTGCTTTCATTTTAGTCTACATAGAAAGTAACTTGATTGCCTTATACATTTTGAGTATGCATTAGTTTTACAAAGAAAATACTGGGGAGAATAGGACCATATATACTTGTCTGTTTCTGAGTTATTAAAATAGTGGTGGTTTTTGGTTCTTGCGTGGTGAATTGAGCTAAGCTTTTAAAGAGCTAAATGCCACTATAACATTCTGTATGAGAGATATTGAATACTGTTATTGTTACAATAAGGCCAGTAACCTGTTTTAAAATTGACTTCTTTTGGTATCTTTGTGCTTTCAGAAATACTCTGTGCACAGCGTACAAAAAGAGAGTGCTATTAAAAATGTATTCACGTATTTTAAAGAAGTGGCAGAATGATCAGAGTGGAATACTTACAGCAAGAAAACAGACTCTTGTTCCTTTTAGCCTGTCTTTCTGTCACATCTCCTCTCCTAACCTAAAAAGTCAAAACTCCTGTTTCTCATCCTTACTCCTGCTAGTCTTATCTTCCCTTTGGGCCATGACTCAGAATTCCCATCTTTCTATGGAGAAAGCCACTTTCTTTACTAGTGGCTTTTTGGTCTCTGTCTGGAAGGTGGTTTCTTCTTCTTCTACATCTTCTGATTCTCTCCAGGTTAGACTTTCTCCTATCTCCTCTGTTTTGTTTGCTTGGTTTTGGCTTTGCTTTTGCTTTTTTTTCTCCCAGCTGTTATCCCTTGGGACAACTTTTCATGATGTGTAGATGCCGTGAGGTGGTGTTTAGAGCTCAGGAAAAACAGACTCTGGCAGCTGAGAGTGCAGATGAGTTTCAGGCAAAGCAGCTGGTTTCACAGCCAAAGCTGGACAGGCCTGTCTGCAATCCATGAGCTATTAGAAGTGTGATCAATTATTGTTCACATGCCCTGTCAGGTCAGAGCAACCTATTAAGAGGTCAGAACATACTCAGTACAAGCAGCATCTTTAAAACCAAACCGTTACACTTTAGCAAGTCTCAGGCCAATTTTCAAAGGTTTATTTTGTCAAACTTTGACAGGACTGGAAAAAAGTTCAGCACTAATACAAAGGTTATCCTCTACCAAGGGTTAGCTTCTGCTCCAAAGCATAAAAGTGCTAAGAAACCTGACCAAAACTGTCAGTATAAACAAAACACTGTAAATTTTTGTTTTCTCTTTTTTGTTAGCTATGCTCAAAATGCCTGAAATCTTTTCAGGGTTTTTTCCGCTTCTAAATAAATAAAAGTTATGCACAATATTTTAAGATTTTTGGCAAACATGAATAGGTATTAAAAATGGGAAGAATCAAATAATCTTAGTATCCACCACTTTTTAATCAGTACAACACTTCTTACCCTTGATATGCATACTTTTATGTAACTGTGTATGTGGTGTGCCTATGCGCATACACTAAAACAACCAGTGTCCGTATTTTCATATTTTTCATTTCGTTACCTCTACAGAGAGGTACTAATTCTGCATTTACATGGCATAGGCAGTGTTGGAGTAACAGTTCTCAGTGAGCACTTCCCTTTGCGTCAAAGTAGAGGAAACAATAAATGGTAACAGACACTTTTTCAGTGAGATAAATTTGGTTAAAAAGAAAAACTAAGAACATTATTGGAGGAAAAGACTATGAATAAAATATAGATACTTGTAGAAGCAACATGCAAACTCCTAATACTACAAACGCTAAAATGTTCCTTTTTGAAACAGGATTTAAGAAGCCTATACTTCATGGACTGTGCTCCTTTGGGTTTGCTGCTAGAAATGTTTTGAAGCAGTTTGCAAACAATGATGTGAACAGATTCAAGGCGATCAAGGTCTGTGTGTTCATTCTTTGCAGTGAATTTTCTTGATTTTTTTTGTTTTGTTTTGTTTTTGTTTTAGTGCCAAAAAAAAAATCTTTAGGGTAGGAAAAGGCTTTTGCACTGTCTTAGCTGCCACAATTGTATTTACTTATTGCTGCATGCATTTTAATGCCTCTATCTAGTGTGTTTACTTAAATATTTAGGCTATCTACATTGGTAGTTGATTGATTTTTCTCTTTGCTTTTTTTTTTTTGCTGATTTTATTAGAGCCTATGCTTTTCAGCTTTGCATGTATGTATGACAGATCTGTTTACACCCTCACTTTTTTTAAAATTTTTTTTTTTTTTAGGTTCGCTTTGCGAAACCAGTCTTTCCAGGGCAAACTTTACAAACAGAAATGTGGAAGGAAGGGAATAGAATCCATTTTCAGACCAAGGTCAGAACACACTCACCGTTGTGGGCTTTAGAGAAAGTTGTGTTGGTTAAAACACTGGGTATATGAGGGGAAGCAAAAAAAGTGGCTCATCAAGCACGCTGTTGGAAAAGGTTTTGTAAAGAAATTAAGTGGATAGACAGAAATACTCTTTCTTACTTTATGGTGTCTCTAAGACATATTATACTTACAAGACTTAGTATGCTCCTTATATTAAATAATACGAGAATTCATTTCATTGTATTGCATTTTCTGCTTTTGTCTACTGTGGAAGAGTAAAAAGCAGTCATTCTCAGGTCAGCATAGTTTGTGCTTGTTTTCTGCAGTTAATCATAACCTTGTGTATGCATCTTTCTTTAATATCTGTTTATCTTAAATCAACTCTTGACAGTTCATGAAGGTAAACTTGTACAAATTTAGTTTAAATTGAGTTAAACTTAAGCTGCATCTACACAGAACAACTTAGTGAAAAACGGAAGTTCCATAGCAGTTGGACAGAGTAACTGCAATAGAACAGAGTTTGCACTTTTTTAAATTCAAGTTTTGCATTATTCTGTTTTCTTTGGCATTGCTGTTAGCATTTTGTATGGGCATCCTGTAATCCTCTCTTACACTTGGTAGGATACACACTGGAAGCTAAGGGTAGAATACTTCGCGTAGAAGCGAAAAGTAAATTCTCTTCACTTCTTTGTAGCACTGTATGACACTGTCAATTTCTTAAACTATGATTTGCTACTTCTATTTGTCAGTGTGTGTTGGCTTATGCAGATGCAATTTACATTGCTTTGGCTGGCAAAAGTTTTGCAACCCCATCTCTGTAAAAATGTAATCAGCTGTTAATTAGTGAGTGGAGCAGCAGGGATAGTTGCAGCTGCAGGGAGGATTGGGCAGGCAAAATCAAATGGGGAGAGTCATCGTAAGCCCATAGGATTGCTGTTTCCACAGGAATACCGCTTTGTGGAATAAATGTTGGCTGGAGGAGGTAAGTTTTGTTTACAGACCTGGTGAGCATTAGCAGCTATAGAATTTTGGAATCATAGCAACATCAAGGCTACTATGTACCAACTTTCGGTCTCTGGTTAATAGTAGTAAACAAGACAGTTTGGTGCCTCAAATGAGTTTTGGAGATTACTGTATTGGACATGGAAATATTTAAAAGGTAGTGCTACCCAATCCTGACAGAATTTCTGGACTTCAGGTATTTAGTTTTGAGGGTAAATTAACAGAATTCACGATATGCTTCCAAGCCCTTTGGAGTTTGTAAACAGAGTGGGATGTTTTATTGTGTCTAAAAGCTGGATTTGTTATTATGCTTGGTTTAGTCATTGCTAATATGTAGAGTTTGGGGGAATTTTGCTACAGGTTTGGTTTTTTTTCCCGCAAGTGTGGAGTAACTTATTTTAGAGAGAAATTACAATGTTAGCAGGATTATAGAAAACCACTTTGTTTCAACAGTTACAAATTGTGCAGAATTCTGTTTCTTACTGCACATTGGATTAGTCTGAAATAAAGCCGTCTATGGACCTGTAATAAACTCTGATTAAATCAAACTAAAAGTAGACGTATATAACTTTGATATGCTGGTTTAAATCCATTTTCAGCATTGTCCAAAGTGCAGTGGCAGTGGGTGACAAGCTGTTAGGCACTATTTGAGCAATCATTATTATGTAGTCTTTCTGTATTAATTTCACCTGTGCAATGATGTAGGCTGCGATACTGGATATTCCTCCATTTTGGCTGTTTAGCATATAACTCTATATGCATTGTCGTGAATCATTTTGCCATCTTCCATTTGCTACTGTAAGTCAGAACAGTTTGTCAGACCCCTTAAAGAACAATGCCAAAATGAAGCCCATTTTCTTCTCTGACTTAACTGTTTAAAAAAATTAAAACAGAAGGGGGTTCGGGTATTCTTCATCTTTCTTCTTGTTACCTTTCTGTTTTTACAATGCTTAAAAATTTGTTTCTAGTCCAAGTGACAGTGTAAGGCACCTGGAGATAGTGAAACTGTGTAGATGAACTCTTGCCAACTGTATACCTAACTCAAGAAAAAACATTTTAGAACAATGTCTTTCTCAGAAATATGGAGTAACTTTAGCAGTAACTTATAACACTGGAGGTAAACTTTCAGCTAAATAAGGTTTTTCTAGAATTTTGTGAGTGGAAAACCAGCAATACATTTTAGTATAATTTCTCAAGAAGCAAATATTTTGTTTGAAGAGCTGCTTGCAAAGCATAGTATCCTAACTTGCCTCAATGCATGTATGGGGTGGGGTTTTTTCCATGCTGAAACTTTTATGGTTTCTCTTTTCTTCATCTCTGATTTTAAAATGTAAGGAAGATTTTTTTTTTCTATTGTTTTCCCTTCTGTTGTGAGTTTTTGTGAATGTTACCTCTTTAATGTAATTTCTG